ATTCAGTAGTTGCTTCAATGTTCCTTTCCCTTATTTCTTTATACTTTATGTTCGTTCCCCTCTGTTTTTTGGTTTTGCCTTCTTCCCTTTTCTCTTTTGTTCTCACTAACGTTTTCTGTTTGCAGGTTGCGGCTGGAATTAGCGGGAGGAAAAATTTGATAGCATTGGAGCTGATTTGAGGTGATTGAGGAAATTTCAGCTGAAAATCGAAAAAGAACACAACTACCCAATAGTATACTGCTACGGTATACAATATGCTGTAGGAGTATATAGCTATAGTGCAACAGTATACTGTTATAATTTACAATATACTGCAACGGTATATTGTAATAATCGAAGAAGAACACAGTTACCTAATAGTATACCGCTACAGTATACAATATACTATAGGAGTATATAGTTATACTGCAACAATATACTATTATAGTATATAATATATTGTTATAGTATACTGTCACAATATGCAATATACTGTAACATTAGGCTGTAATAGTATACAATATACTATAATAGTACACTTATTATCCGTAAATTCACTTGCCTTTTCCCTTTTAATTTGCTTTAAGCTTTTACCTAGCGCGAGGGGTAAAATTAAAAATGCAAAAAAAAAAAAATATATATATTATGCTATGTAATGTAACGGTATACTCTTACAATTAGATCCTTTTAGAATTTTTTGAAATTTTTATTGACAACTGATATTATTTCAGTTTAATAATTGAATTAATTTTTTTAACTCTTTACGTACAATTGTATACCCTGTTGGTATAGCTATATACTATACTGGTATCATATGTTAGTTAATATTTTCTGATTGTATTAGCTACATTTAATTGGTACACAATTTGATTTTACTTTAGTAATAATATAAAATAAAACAATAATAAAAATTATTGAAAACAGTAAATCAAATTAGATTATGAAGAGAAAAAAATATAATAAAAAAAGAAGTTAAATGAAATTAGAAAAGGAAAAAAGAAAAAAATAAGAAGAAAACGAGAAAAGAAAAAGAAAAGAAAAAGAAAAGAAAAAAAGAAAGAAAAGAAGCATAGAAATAAAAAAGAATTGGAGAATAAAGAAAAAATTACCCACAAAAACTATTATGGGGGTAGAAAAATAAATGGGTAGACAAGGGTAAATAGTTTCGTTTTTGTGGGTAACTGTGTCAAAACCCCCAAAAAAAAGTGAACTTGTGAAGAAGGCAAGAGATCTGACATTTAGTATATATCTATATCTATATCTATATTTATATTAAAAGCACGAAGACCCTTAGCGAAACGACGTTCGTCTTTTTTACCCTTTAAAAATAGAGTTTACATTGTATAAAATAGTCATTTTAGTGATTTTCCTAATATTTAGGACATGAAAATTAATGAATGGTTTACTTATAAATCTTTCCTTATTTAATTGTGGAAAAAGTCCTATTTTTCAAGATTTTAAAACCAGTTTATATTTACATTAAATAATTTGTTTTCTTTTAGATTATGTAACAAAACAATAAATATATGCAACCAGTTTCACGAATAAACGATCAAATGGTCTCAATTTAAAATACTTGAACATATGAACGTTGATCTATCGAAAAATACTTTCAATTTTAAGCTCAATACATTTCCATGCTATATTTAAACTACTTTTCTACTAAAACAATATTTTTCCATTTGTCGACCTTTTAGTATACTACACTCAATAAATAGAATAATTAAATAAGAAAACATTTAAGAATATAAGAGAGAAAAATAGTTGCTAAGAGTCAAAAACACTAATAATTCTGCAAACACAAATATCTAAAAATAAATTATAATTTTATCTTTTAAGAATTTATCAAAAGAACGAAGTTCCTAGCGAAATGTCGTTCATCCTTTTTACCTTTAAAAAATACTGAAAAAATAGTTATTTAATTATTTCAATAATATATAGAAATTTGAAATCAACAAAAAAAATTGTTATTAACTCTTTCCTTATTTAAACCAAGAAATATTTGTTTGCAATAAATTTTCTTAGAGTAGAAAATTAAATGCAATCACAATACAAATATGAAGAAACATAATTTTATTGATAAATAATTGTGGGTACAATTCTGTTTCTCCCTTGATTCTTCTCTCCTGATTATCTCCGTGATTCGAGGGCTAGAATAGCGTGTTTCTCGAACGTAGGATGATGCAAACCTTCATGGGATGTATTTGACCTCCATGAAACTATGTTTATCCGGCCGCATCTTGATCTCTTTGTGAATATTCCGTGAGTTTATGGGATTTTCGAGATGATCTCCATTTTTTGAGATATTTTTTAAAGGATTATGTAACCCTTTTTATAAGAGTGACTTAGGGTTTTGGTAGAGTAGCCTCTAAGCAACACTGACAGACTCCTAGAATTTCAAGAGGTCTTGTAGTATCTTGAATTTAAGATTTAACTCGATCCATTAAGATTTCGATGTCTACAATATTAATATTGCAAATTTTAAAATCAATTAAAATTTACTTTAGATTGAATGGGTAAATAACTCAACGCAAGAATTTGTCTATATTATTGTTGAGTTATAGGTTAGAAACCCGAAAGGCTGAGTTAGAAAGGAGTATATGCCTCCTTTTAAGAGCTCTAATATCTATTTCTTTAATTTTTAATATTACCTTAAATTAAAAGTATTTTATAATTTCATTGATCCACAACTACAAGACAAAAAAGTCTAAAAGATTTCAAAATAAGTATCTTTATTTAAGAAGTAAAAATAAATATCAACACTAATTTATAATAAATTAAATTACTAAAGAAAAATTACTCATTCAATTATTTTTCTAAGTTATTAAAATTTTCTTTATTATTAAATCGTAGTATTTAAAACTTTAAAGCAATTAAAAGTTTACCATGTATAAAATATTTTTCTTACTTGAACTATCTAAATATAGGTTTAAGAAGCTTCTTCCGTGTTAGAATGGTATTGCCAAGATGTTTCAAACTTTCAATGTAAAGCTTTTTGGCCTCACGTTTTAAATGCTCGGTTGAGGAAATTGAAGTGAGACATATTTTATTTAAATGCGATTTTAGCTTTCTACTTCTATGAAATAAATTTTGTTCTATGAAAATTTCAATTATTTTTCTGTCTGCCTACCATTCATGTCAAGTGATTCTTTTGGGTGTTCATATATAACCCAAACTTCAAGCATATTTTAGGTACTAAGTTTTTACTTTTATGTCATTTTACCGTGTATTTACATTAAAAGTACGTAGTTTATTAGGCATAACTGTATGTAAATATTCTAAAATTTACATTGTACATGCTTCTATATTTATAATCCAAAGATGTTAATATAGTTTTTAAGTCTTAAAAGTATTATTTTACTGCTGTTTAAAAAGGTCATGAATCTGATTTCTATAAGATGTTAGCCAAGAATTCAATCGCGATGTTCTTTCCCTCGGGTATGTACTATGTAACATAATTATAATTTCTTTAATCAAAGACAAAGAAACTCCTTCTTTCCAAAAAAATAATTAGAAATTTAAGAGTACAATATTCTTCTAATTGCCTTCACAATACAATTTCTTATAGCAACTAAGCAATAAACATAATTAATAATTATGAATTTATGATTTCATAACAAAGCAATACTTACGAAAAAACACAAGAGATCATTATAGGATCAATATTCTATCATTTTTAGAAATTTATATTTTTACTTTAATTTTTATTTTATGATTGCATCATATTCTTTATATATA